CTTTAGTATAACGTGCATCCCAAACTTCTTTTCAAATCTAAAACACTTCATAAGTACGATGCGTATGGTACGTGATAGAGAAGGAGTGAGAATGGAGCCCCTCCTACACTCATTCAGAGTATTTTAAACACAAGACGCTCGACTTGTTTGTTCGAAATATTCACCTCTAGACTTTATTACTATACGCATCGCAAACTTCTTTTCGAATAGAAATATGATGTAGGTAGCTCGTGACAGAGAAGGAGTGAGAATGGAACCTCTCCTACACTCATTTCGAGTATTTTGAACACAAGGCGCTCGACTTGGTTGTTCGAAATATTCACCTCAACCCATAGACTTTAGTATAACGCGCATCCCAAACTTCTTTTCAAATCTAAAACACTTCATAAGTACGATACGTATAGTACGTGATAGAGAAGGAGTGAGAATGGAGCCCCTCCTACACTCATTCCGAGTATTTCGAACACAAGGCGCTCGACTTGGTTGTTCGAAGTATTCCCCTCTACATATAGCCCTTTAGTGCGATCCTAATAAAAAACAACATCAACGTACCAGACTTCTTTTTCGCCTTAGGGCATCATTCAAAAACCCTTTTTCAAGGTATAAGATCAACCAACACACAATCATTTCTTAAGTAGCCGAACTACGGCCGCTCTAATTTCTCATACCTGATGAGAATACGTAGGCATAGGATTGCGATGATCCTAGCGAGCACTCTTCTTTCTTTCCCACCTTTAGTCATCCATACCTTTTAACCCAAGAACATGCTACGTCCGTTCTACTGCAAATAGGTAACGCCTAAGTCTCCAACGAGCGAGCAACAATACACCTAACTGCTAGAATGTGCACGATAGCATTGTCCACCCAAACTTCCCATTTTCCACCATAGTCCCATGAACTACGAATGCTCTGATTTTTCACTTCTTACAAGTGAATATACGTAGGCACAATGGCCCCAATCCTTGGCGAGCATTAAAATATAAAACCAACCCCTATTTCCATTAAGCAAGCAAACTCTTAATAAAAACACTCATTCACGCGAAATAACCTAGAAGATACCCATCGAGTACGATGGATGCGAGGGGGTGCTAATACCTTCCCCTCGCATAACCGACTCCAGAACCCTAAGACTTGGTTGCGATGACCATCCTCCTTTCCCAAAGGTTTTATCGCTATTTCCCTTTCCCTCCTTGGGATAAATAAAATCCGGTGGCGACTCTATGTCATTTTTCACAAAGCGACACTTCCTGAATTGCATTTTGAACAAGATCCCTGAAAAGAAAACATTGAGATGTTTTATGATCCAAAAAATTATGGTATTTACAAAACCATCTTTTCTTCCTTTGTTCTATAGACGGCATCTTAGCACCAGGTGGCACTATCATTTGTCCGTCTTTGACTAACAAATCGAAGATTTCATCACATTTTGTGATGTCAAAAGTATATGTTTTCTTTGGGAACCTATCGTTCTTTTCGGATTCGACACAACTCTTCCCCTGTGGGGGAGCCAGTACTTTACAAGAGTAAGGTGGTCCTTGTTTGAGCTCAGCAAGATCCACTTCGCCTTCGTCGAAGTACACAGGATCATCGCACAACCCTTCGACATTCTCATTATATTCAACAAAAGCTACCTTCTTATTTTTATTAAACTTAGCTTTTTCGTCTCTGAGCCTTTCCAGTTGTCGAACTCGATCAGCTAGTTGGGCCATGTCCCTTAGATACTGGATGTCCAACTTCTTCCTAATGGAATAGTCGAGGCCTCCAGCGGCCATTTCGACCAGCTCGTATTCAGGGACCTGTGTGAAACATCTAGCCTTAAGCAAACAGAACCTATTAAGGTATTCTTCAATTGGCTCAGAAAACTTACGCTTCACACTAGCAAGTTCTTTTAAGCTAATCTTGGTCTGGCCCATATAAAACTGCTCATGGAACAAACGTTCTAACTAGGTCCAATTGCACACTGTATTAGGGGGTAGCGTGGTGAACCAAGTGAAGACGTTTTTAGTGAGAGAACTTGGGAAGTATTTTATTCTAAGGCTCTCATCATTCGCTATCTCTCCAGCCTCGATTAGATAACGGGCCACGTGTTCGACAGTGGACTTCGTCGTATCCCCTGAGAACTTGGTAAACTTGGGCACTTTCGTCCTAGGGGGTAACTCCGCCTGAAGGATATAATCCACTATAGGGGAAGTGTAGTTTGGCTTGGTGAACCCAGTGTTCAAACCATTTCTCGCCATAATTCTCTCGACCATGGATGCTAGATTATCATCGACGGCCACGTTATTTCGTCGAATCTGTTGGAAGACATTATCCGCGTCCTGGTTTTGATTCACGATAACCACTCCTGGGTCTCTTTCTCCCAGAACACGGGCCTGATTTCGTAATGGTTCTTCCCTAAGCAATTCGACTACGGGAGGACCTATCCTTCCTTGGTTTCCTATATCAGTTTCTGCCGTATTTCCCAAGTTTTCTCGTGGGATGTCCGCTATTGGAGCCTGACTTCTGGCTAAGGGAGGTACCCTCATGAATTCAGCCAATCTTGTCAGTTGTACCGCCAATTGTTGATTGGTCTGGGTTGTATTCTGGATTAATGGTTGAAAGATTTCGCCCATGGTTTGTGACAAGGTCTGAACCATTTGCAAATTGCTTTCATCCATCTGCTGCCTTAAACAGGCAACTGAGGTGTTGGTCAAGTTGGGGCCTTGCGTCGAATATCCTAAACTCTGATTTTGGTGATTTCGACCCATGTTCACGCCAGACCCTGACCCTTGTAATGGCGAAGCCATTGCATGGTCTGAGAATATGGGGGCGCACTTTGGAGCCCTTGCATTACAGTTGTGGGCATCCCATATGGCGGATTTCTTGGTGACTGTGAAAACCCGGGGGGAGCAAACTGTCTGGAAGTCGAACTTCCCCCTAATAGTATTTGAGGATTCGACGTTGGAGGCCCAATATATTCCAACACGGTTGACTATAAGGTCTTATCGCCGTCGACTCAGCCCCAAGTACTGAGGGTGTCGGTACTGGCCTCACGGGAAGCATCGTTTGTTCTCCGGTCGACGGTATCGGGATGGGAACTACATCGTCTCTTATTCCTTCACTAGAACCGTCTCTTTGAAGGCTGGGATTATTTGGCTGGTTCGTATCCGTAGCCATGTTCCTAATGTTTCGTCTTGTCCGTCTTTCTTCGTTTACAACGGTAATTCTACCACTTCTTAGTAACATAAAATGCACTTCTCACGGAAGGACCAACAAGACTGCAATTTTTGTAAACTTAATTTGTATAAAAGAGATTTTTAGCACTGTCCCACTGGGCGTGCCATTTTGTTTCCCTTGAAAATCGGAAAACAACCGCTGATCTTTCAAATCTAACTTTGGTGACTCACAGGATCGATCAGATTGATCCTAAGACATGTGCTAAAGGTTTATTCTCGTTAATTCTATCTAAGTTTCACACTCTGGCAAGGTTGCAGTAAAGGAATCTAAAAGGAATATCTATTCGACTAACAAGACAAGATAAAAGATAAAGTTTAGTAAAGAAAAGAAAAAAAAAGAAGTTTGTTTGGAGAAGAAAGATTAAGGACGAAGAGAAGGGACTTGTATAAAGAAGGAAGAAAGGAGAAGGAAGAGGGGTGCAAGGAAAATAAAAAGACTTGGTAAAGTTTAAAGCAAGTAAAGTAAATTTTATTAAGATAAAAGATGGTGTGTTTACATCACGTACATTCTCTGTAATACACGCTTTCTCTACGCTCGTATACTTGGAGTAATTCTAAGAGTGATTTGTACAATAGTAAATTACAACACAACTTATTTCATGTCTAAGACTCCTTATTTATAATAGTAAAAAATAACTACTAATAACTTCCAACATCACCATCTTTTGCCATTTGTCACAATGCATGGATCCGCTGCTTATAAGGTGCCATGTGTCCTCCTAGCCACTTGGCGAACGAAACTGTTCCCTCCAAGTTTTTGAATTTCAAATCTTCAATAAATCACCCAACAGTAAACGGCCGAAGCCCTTGTGGTTTCTCTTTAATCCTAGTGAGTGCTTCGACTACTTCCTTTAGCTGCCTCACGCCTTTCGACCAACCTTTGCTTTCAACCTGCTTTTAATGCTTCTCCTTAGATTTTTTTATTTTGCAAGAGGCATCGAATTTAAGAGCTAACAAGTGAACAACTAGATCTTCAACTATTAATTCTTGACAAACACAATTATGACAAAAACGTCCGGACTGAAATCTTGCAACTTGAAAGATTCAATCGAATCAAAACAACACTCTCACTTAGAAACAAAGACAATTGTTCTTGTAACAAGTTCAATTTGAGTTAAATCAAAAATTCGTTACAAACTTTAGTCAAATTTCAAGACGAACTAAATTTATGTCAAATCAAAGTGAAATGTGTTCGACTCACTTATTTTCAATCCTACATGTGAGGATAATCTTCGTATAACCAAATTAGATTCATTCTCGTCAAATTATTTTTTACCAAATACATTAAAAATTGTACAAAAACTTCTCTATTTAATGAAAAACACGGTTATATAATTACATGATAATTTTGAAAAACTAATATACATTATAGACAAAATTAATGTAAATCTATATTACATAGTTTTCTTAAAGTTTATGAATTTATCAAAAGAAATATATTCAATGCCAAGAGTACAATTCACGTAACCTCTTAAGCTTATACAAAAGAGGATGAAAATGGATATTACCCAAAAAAAAAAAAAGAAAAAAACAGAGAAAATGGAAAAAGTAACCCAACAGCTCCTATCTCAGAGATGTAAGGATCAAAATCTCATATAACAATTTTCAGCAATACCAAAACATCAAGCGCATACTTTAAATGAGTTGCAGTTTTTAGGACGGGTGTAAAAGTCCTTGCGACTTTATTAATCTGTAATGCTTGTGTATTGGGTTTGAGTACCCTTGTACTTAATCAATATATTTTTGCTTATAAAAAAATTTTATTAAAAATAAAAAGCCTTAAGATCAATCATCAGGAAAACCAAGGAATCTGTTTATATGATTGGCGACTGGTGTAGCATCACCTGGAGTATAAGGAAGGAGAGAATTTAAATCCATATCTGATATAGTTTGATGAAGTGTATGAGGATTAGCACAATACAAATGTTTTCTGTTGGCAAGTTCATCTGCAAGCTCACTTTGATGATTATCCATTAAATCTTCGTTTACAACCACAATTAACGGTTTGCGTAGCCGCAGTGTCTCAAATATGCTGCCTGACCCTGCATTAAATCAGAGTAGTTACAGTTAATTTCCAGTCCCGGACACTCCACATTTAACAAAATATAGGCCTAATGGTAACCAGTGAGATAACGATGTTTCATTGTTTCATGGTGTGAGGCTAGAAAGCATGAACATAAAATTATTGTTAAAAAACATGAGCACAAACAAATTCTCATACTTTCACCAAGAGGTATTGAAGAAATTTTAAACAAAAAAATAGTTAGACTTTATAGATTTCCCTCTTCTATTGTTTCTGACAGGGACATGGTTTTGACTTTATGGACATCTAACTATTAATATTGTATTGACCCGAATTGAAATTTAGTGCTGTATATCATTCCCAGTCGAATGGGTGCTAACAGATCATTTGAGTCTCGCCTTAGGCGTCTTATGTGAACTAAATGGCTCAATTGACAGAATTTTGGAATAATGCCGACTATAATAATGCTGCAAAGATGGACCGACCCCTTTAACGCCTTATTCAGGAGAGACCCCTCTGTACTAATTAGAGATGTGACTGGATCAGCAGTAAAGGATAACAGGCTGATAGCTGAAAGAAATCACAAGTGAGGACTTTGGCTAAAAGGGCGAATGAGAAATTGAGTTCTGGATATTATGAGCCCTATGATATTGTGAAGAATGAGCGGCAATCGGGAACTCAAGGTGCATTCAGCTCCAGCCCTTCCAATACAAACTAATGCCAATGGAGAAAAAGTTCTTGATCATGGGAAGTCTGTCTGCCTGACTTTGAAAACTATTAAGAAACTCGTCTACATTACAGAATCAGTTTCCTAAATCCTACCTTGCAAGGGTTTTTTTGTGTGAAACAGGTATTCTACACACACAACTACAAAGATTAATATCTCCAATCACATAGCAGGAAATTGGTTGTGATTTTAGTGAAAACAAACACGCAAAAGACAAGTTGTAACTAACACGGATATACCTGCATGGCTAATTACAAGAGAAGCATATCTGATATGGTCTGCAATACTAGAAGAAAAAGTGAAGTAGTCTACCACCAATGAACCTTCTCTTTCACACTGCAATCAAAGCATTGTCTCCAAGATTCATCAAAGTTAGAGCAATAAAGTTGATTCAGAAAATGTTTTAAACTAACTACCTTGGTGGGAAGAAAGGATCCACGTCCCATTTGGATGAGAAGGTTGGTATAACCCTTTGCAAGCAATTCTTTCTTAACATGATCTGAATCCATAGCTCTCACAAGAGCATCAAAAGAAGTCGTTCCTACAGTCACAAAAACCATTCTCCTTGTTTTGTCACCTCCGTCCTCGTCCCCCATTTAATTAAGCACGCCACTCAGATTAATTACGAATCAGGTTGATAATTCTTCACCCAAAATATGCTTAGGTTGAAAGTGTGCTGTTGACATTAAAAACAACAATTAGGGTTGGGAGAGTCGATTTTATCACTGAGCAAAACAAAACATAACAGAAAGATCCAATCAACAAAATGCTATGCCAGTAACAACACAAAGTATATGCTCAATTCCAACGAAGAATGAAACGAAAATACTCACTTTAACCCTAAAAAACTCAACTAAAAGTGTAGAACAAATTCCAATGAAAAACTGATTGAATTTTAAAAGTCTATAACAAAAGGATTGTGTAGATACCTGAAGGAGTGTTGTTGGATGAGCGGTGCCGCGAATCTGAGTTAGAATAACTCTGTAAAAAGATAGAATTGTGAATCTAAGACGGGTTTTGTGTCTATCATATTTAAAATATCATAAATTTCAATTTAAATCATGGGCAGTTGGTCAGTGATATGTTTCTAGCTTAGGATGTGAGAGATCCTAAGTTCAATTCTAAAAATGCCCTTTTTTATTTTGCTTACTTAAGTTTATTCCTAATTCTAATACTTTTTAAATTTCAGGATAAGCTACACACATTGTCTATTTTTTATGCCAGTGTTCTTACACCCATATTTATATTGTATGTATTCACAAATATGATAAACAATGAATGAAATTGTATATTGTATGTATTGTTCACAAATATGATAATCAGTGAAACATAAAAAGTATATATATAGTGCCATGTGAATAGTGTTCGTGCACAGTGCGTGAATAATAATTTTTTATTATAAAATAAAATTAATTAGTTAAGTGGTGAAGTCGGTTAATAATCATCCAGATATTAAAAATAATTTTTAATAGTAAAACAAAGTTAATTAATAAAATATAAAAAATTGATTAGTAAAGTTATAAATTTGATTAATAAACGTTCAGGTATAAAAATAATATTTAGTAGTAAAATAAAATTGATTAATAAAATATAAAATATTAGTTAATAAAATTATAAAATTGGTTAATAACACAATACTATTTAATCCAAAGTAAAAAAAAATATTTTTTTTAAAATTATTTTATTATTATAATAATGAGATACAGTGTTTATATTTTGGTATAGGAATAGCATTTTTCATTCTTATAAAAATGTGCTTGTTTTATGTTTTTTTCATGAATAATTTTTTATTTAGACATTCTATTATTAATAATATTATTTTAACAAATATATTTAGTGGAGTTTATTTTAAATGAATATAAGGATAAGTGAACGGTTATCGGTAGTTTTATTTTATGTTTATGGGAATAAAAGATTTCTAATCAATATCTGGAAGTGACATTTATAAATCATATGTAAAAATTTTGTTTTTGAAATAAATAATATTTAAAAATAGTTTTGATAAATTTATATCAAACATGAAAAATTATTTTTCAACTTGTTTCTCGTATCTCAAACTTCAAAAAACTATGTTCATGGTTAGTGGATCATCTCTACTCTTTAATCGAACAAGATGTTTGATGTATACATTAATAGTTAAAAAAACTTCAAAAACTATTATGTTTTGGTAATTTCATTGAACTTAGAGGCTTATTCGGGTTTTTTTTTATAAAGTTGACCAGAGGGATCTAACTCCCTTTTCCTCTTCCTCTTGACGTCAGGAAAGAGCAGGGAAGTATTGGCTTGGGACCATTTCGAATAAGAATCCCTCAAATATTCTCTTAGTGATGGTAAACTTATCCTAGATGAGGAATGGTTAAAGAGGGATCTGATGTCCTTTTAGGAACAACTATGTTACGAGAAGGAGAAGAGCCCCCTAAGGAAGTAGAGCCTATGAAGCAGCATGTCGCAGTTGGGAAATTACAGAATCGGCATCATCCTTTATTCGTTCCTAAAAAAGGAAAAATAATGATAAAACCTAAGAGTAAGAATAATACTTAAGGTTCAGAAGTCGATTAAGTGAGGGGAAGGTGTTAGGCACCCCTCACTTTCATTGTATTCAATAGAATCCTTCTCTAATTCTAGGGTTAATGTGCTTGCCTAAAGGACGTTTGCTTAAATTATATTCTGCCTAATGCTTTATTCTATGTACTTACAAGTAAATTAGGTTATTGTTTTGATAAAAAAAATTGATCACGAAGTAGAATAAAGAAAATTTCTTTTATTATTGTACTCGCCAGAGTGTTACAACTCTATGCCTACTTACCCTCAAGCATTATGAGGGATCAGAGTATCGTAGTTCGTCTAGAAAAAGATTGTGTGTTTGTTATTTTTTATTGTGAAAAGATCTTGTTGCGGTGAGAATCGTGATGTCAAGCTATTGATTAACTTGAATCTTTAATTCTTAAGTTTACAACCGGACTTTAATTTATCCAAAAAAGAAAAGGTTTAAAGAAAGAAAAATCTATAAAAATGCAAAACAAAAAAGCAAGGCTTAAAGCTAAGCAAAGAGAGATCTAAAGGTTCGGGGGTTGGTTATGCCTAGGGTACGTATTTCACATCCTAAACATCTGTAGTACTCTACAGGAACCTCTTGTTAATATTTGTGTTTGCTAAAGTTTGCTTGCTAAAGGAAATGTGCTAAGGGTAAATATGAAGTATATAAAAAGTATGTACAAAGTTTGCTCGCGAAGACATCGCATCTCGTGTCTACGTATCCTGACGGGAATGGAATCAGAGCAACCGTAGTTCCCCTAACTAGGGGTGAGGAACTCTTGATTGTGGTCAAGATTCCAATGGGATGTAAGCATTCATAGGGAAGTACTTACATGGAGCGCGACGACTCCTGAATCTACGTTGAGATTGTTATGGTAGAGAATGTCCACGGCGGGACGCTAAACACGAGTACGGCGACTCAAATCCTAAGGTTAGGATAAAGGGTGAAGGATGTCCACAGAGGGACGTTAAATAGAGCACGGCGACTCCAATCCTAAGGTTAGGATAAAAGGTAAAGAATGTCCACGACGGGACGCTAAAAGTGAGCACGGCGACTCAAATCCTAAGGTTAGGCTAAATGACATGGCAGTCAACAGAGGGAATTCTTTCCTTTGAAATGTATAAACAATCAAATAAATTAAAAAACCAAAAAGGAAATGACGCCGAGGGTCGGGAATTAAACACAGCCAAAAAGCAGCAAGAATTAGATTAAACAATAAGACTGATGAAAATGGAAATGTCAAGATTAAATTAAAAATAAAATAAAAATAAAATAAAACCAAAATCTAATTGGTTTACTAACTAATCTACCTAAAAAACTAAATTATGATTCTAACCAAAAAAAAAACTAAATTATTATTAAAACTAAATTTAAAAAAATATAATTAAAACTAAATTGAAATTCTAATTAAAAACTAAACTAAGTCTTAAATGAACTAAATAACTAAAAACTAAGCTAAAAACTAAATAACTAATTAACTAGCTAAGTCCTAATTAAAATAAACCTAATTATAATTGATATATATGAACAACTAATGAGGAGGTGTATAATGGGTAAGTGGAGCGGGTTGCTCCAATCTGACCCATCTGGGTCTCAAAAAGAAAATAAAGACCTAAATCTAAGAAAATGAAACACGGCTTATGAAAACAATCCTAGAAAAAAGAAAAAACAACCATCCTCTACTTCTCCCAAACACGACCGAACTCAAAGTTCAAACTCAAAATTCCAAACCGCATCTTACCTCTTTCCTCGCGCTTGCTTTTGCGATCGGTCTTCCTTCTTCTCCGTTTCCGTTTCTTCTCTTTCGCTCCAACAAAAGTGGCTCACGCGCAATGACTACTGTGAGGTTGGTCTTTCTCCTCGCCACGGTTCTCTCACGGTGAATCTTCCTCACGCGATGCCTCCAATTTCTCAGCCTTGTTCTCTAATTCTCATGGCGGCGGCGAATCGCGACTGCTTTCTCTTGAATCTCGTTGTCAGTTTTCAAACTCCTACTCATTTCATCTCATTCGCCTCTGGATTTGAAATGATTTGGTTATGAAGAAATGTTGATTGTGAAATCTGTCTGTGTTTAGTTTTGAAATGAAGAGATTGAAGGGGTTTCCTTGTGGTTTGATTCTTTCTTGAGATTTGATGGAGGGTGAAGGTGTCGCTTGCGCGAAAATAAGGTGTCGGCATGACAGAAGAGTCGCCACCTTTCGTTATTTATCCCTCAGAGCGGGAAAGGAAACGATCGGAAAAACCTGACGAAAAAGGGTAAGACAAGGTCATCGCAACCATTGTCTGGGTTCAGGAGTCGGTTACGCAAGGGGAAGGTATTAGCACCCCTCACGTCCGTCGTACTCGACGGGATCCTCGCTTGTTTGTTTACTTGGACGGGTTGGTTATAATCTATCTACCTATCAAGGCTGGCTGAAAAAGAAAAGAAAAATGACTCGGCAAAGCGTCGCGCTTTATGCCTACGTATTCCCGTCTGGAACGAGAAATCAGAGTCAACGTAGTTCGCCCTACGAAGGATTACGGGGGAAAGGTTGCTCGCTAGGACATCGCATCCTATGCCTACGTACTTCCACACTGTATGGAAGACCAGAGCAAACGTAGTTCGGGAAACTACGGGTTATCTCCTAAAAGAAGTGTTTTTTATTGTGTTTGCGATTTCGACCGCACTAGAGACTATGACCTGAGAGTGAATGCGTCGCATGTCACCCAAAGGGTACCATACTAAACATCCAGACTGTGGAAAAGAAACTCTCCCACAATCCTTTCTCAGATAGCTTAAGGCTCGTAACGTACGAAAGAAATCATTCATGATTACTGTATCTTAAACTGCTTTGAGATGAGAAGAGAACAGGCCCAACTAGGAGGGAGACTATCAAGTCCTACTGTTGTCATGCCATGGATTCATCCTATGGTTGAGGTTTGAACAGGGAACTCCTAGATGTTGTCATGCATAGGTTTCAACCTAAAAGTCTATCATCAAATCCTCATCAGAGGAAATGAGAGTCCTAAGGGATCATGTCAATGATACACCCAAAACAGACAAAAGCATCAACTTTAACA